GGGTCTGCGGAGAGCATTTCTCCGCGATCCCAACTCGTCAATTACCAACCAGGGAGCTCTATGCAAGTCAATGGGACTCCCTGTTAGTTGAAAATGTACGCTAAAGGTCCCCACCCCTCCTGGTGTGTGAGGAGCTCTGCAGATTGGTCCTTTTTGGTTCCCGGAAGAAACAAATGGAAAATGAGAAATGTCCAACGAGGCGTTCTGGGGCAGCATAGACAGGTCTTTTCTGTGTTAGAGTTTTACTCGCTACAGGGTGTACTTTGAGGGTTTGTGACTCTGCAGACCGTTTACATGCATAAAAACCTTCATAACACACAAGGGGAGGGGTAATAACCAGAAAAGCATGACATGGGACCTTTAACTTTTGTATGTGTGTTTTTATTTACATTATATGCATAAAAATAATTCTTCAAACAGCCCGGGCCCAAAGGAACAAATTCAGCTAGCAAAAAAAAAAAATCTGTTGGAGAGAAAAAATCATACGATCTAGGACAACAGTTGGAAATCTGGGATCTTCAAATCAAAACATAATACCCAAAATCACAATAATCTAACAGAGATATCAAAAGAAAGATGGACTGAGAAAAGGCAGACAGAAGTTAGAACTGCAAATAGATTTATAATAAGTCAAAGCAGACCTCAAAAAGAGGATCGCACTAAAGCTAAACACAAACACGTATTTAGCATAATAATATAAAACTAAAAACCATATATTTATATTACTATGGTCATGACAATGGTAGATAAGTCAGCAAAAACAGACACAAACTTCCCCAGACTCTTTGATTATAAAAACTATTTTTTTCAGTATGCGTCTGCAGTTTAATCCAATTCATACTGACAAATACAAGTGCCCATGTAACTCTTTTTATGCATAAAAACGAGATAATATGCAAATTATTAATATAACCTTCAAGCAACTCAACGATAGGACCTAGAGCGATTCAGTCACATTGGACCGACATTCCGGGACTTCCACCAACGTCCACCATCAAGGAGAAAGGAAAGATAATCTACTCTGAGGTCTATGATATCTACTAACACACCCAATCTATTGTCTTTAATAACTACCACAAAAATAAATTTTACTTATCTAACAAAAAATAAAATACAAATAACCACTTTATTTGAGCACTATATAAAGGCCAAGCATCCAACCATCACAGGCCTGCAGGACAGGCAGTTCTTTTAAACCACAGAGAGAGTTGGGCAGATATCATCTTCAACGCAGTACTGCTCAGGGCATAGCAAATATTACAGCTCTTTAATTTGAGATCTGATGTTTATCAATCAGATGTACAAAGCCTTATCACCTCTCTTTCTAAGGACTGTTCAAAGATTTAGTCTCTACCATTTGATAAAACTATATGAAAAAACGAACTGGGAAATTAGGAATACGATCCACTGTAAAGAAGTCCACATGTTCAGAGAACAAATAAAACAATAAAACCCAACCTAACATACACAACAGCAACAGAATGGAAGCCTGCATTCACTCTAACACAACATACTATAGTGCCAAAATACATTTGTAATTGCAATAATAGATCCTGAATGCAAATATGGTGAATACCTTGTACAAAAAATAATTTCTACAACCTAAAAATGTTTCATAGAACACTAGAGAGAAGAAAAATACAACATATTAATATGACAAGGCATAGAAAATAGTCAACAAAAATAACACGACGAAAATAAATATAAGGGTAAGAATAACCATATATCTAATATGGAATAAATATAAACAGAAAATAGTAAAATAATAGATTAAAAAAATAACAGTGCAAACAAAGAGAAAATGATAATAACAGAGAAAGCGGAAAAAAAAAAAAAAAAAAACAAAAAAAATTAGGGTGATAATATGGGAAAAAAAATAGTAATAACAATGTAATTATGGTGTAAAAAAAGGGCATGTACTATTCTGTATAAAAAAAAAAAATGAAAAAAAAAAAAAAAAAAAAAAAAACGGTGTAAAAAAAAAATAACAGTGTAAAAAGGAGGAATCGTAATAGAACCGTCAATATTTACTGAAGTAAATAAGGGAAAAAAAACAAACAAACAAGAGATAAATATGGAAAAAAAAAAAAAAAAAAAGTAATGAAATAAGGAAATACAGCAATCTATAATATGTGCTGAAAACAGATACAAAATGATTGAACCATAATTCACAAACAGACTAGAATGACAGAAATAAGATAAATGGACACAAAAAAAAAAAAAAATACTCAACAATTGAATAGTTAGAATGCACACGCAAGGAGAACAATCCATTGGGAATGTGTAGTTAACCAGAAAAATCTAAGAAATAGAGACTGAAAAAAAAAAGAATGTGATAAAAAAAAGGATGAAAAAATTAGAGTATGAGAAGAAACTGTAAGAAGGAGCTGTAGCGGGGGGTAGCAGTGTGTGAGAGGTGAGACAGTAGGTGAATACAGATAGCTGAAAAGAGAAAAAAAAAATTACTTTGGAAATTAAGAGACGACAAAATTGAGAGGGGGTTAAACTGAACATCTCTAACACTAGTCCCATACATTTAGCCACAAAAGGACTGAACACAAAATGATCTATAAAAAGGCAGAAAAAATAACAACAAAAATAAAAATAATTTATCCTAACAATGGCAACCTGCAGAAAAGATCGCAAAAAAAAAAAAAAAACCATCTCGCCACTTAATATCATTCATGGAAAAGACCAAAAATACGCAAAATGCACTGAGAATGGAAAAAGGGCCCATTAGCTCTGAACAGCAGCAATCACCCAGCCTTTAAACAAACAGAGCGGGGAAATGCCAAAGCACAGTCATATCGCCAACACAAACGAAATTAGAATAAAGATAATTATGTGAGAACAGTGTAGGTAAAAAAAAATAGATTTAAAAAGAAATGATATAAACTCATATATTAAGTACATAAGACTGCGATCTTGTATCATCGGCTCCCTGGCATCACCGGCATGGAATTTTTACCTTGCAAGGCAAATTGTGGAAAAGTATAAAAGAAGAAATGATAACAAGAAACAAAAAATGCACTTGTGAAGACAAAATATAAGCAAAAGTCACAAAATTATATTCTATTAGAAAGAAACTAGAGAAATACAAACACTCAGAGAATACAATGATACGTATAGACATCAATAAACTGATCAAACAATACAATCGTTAATAAATCTAGAAAGAGTATTATAGCAACTAAAGACAGAACTATAACTCTAGTGAAAAACAAAAATACAACTTAAAAAAATCTCCACGATCAGAGCAGGAGTGAAAAGACTTCATCATTCAACGGCAGATCATCCAAAACACCCCTTTTCATATAAACTTTCCAGGGTTTGGAAGGGGAAGTAAATACTGAAAATAAACATAGCCTATATAACAAACAGAAACAGCGGCATAGTCCCAGCTGAAACTTAAACAAGCATAGAAACATAGGAACACAGACAAAAAAAGATGATACCATACA